AGAAAATCGAAATTTTAGTTTTTCGTAGTTCCTCCGCTCGCCGCTAGATGGCGCCACCTGTACCGTTTTGGACCGAATTCGACAAAAATAGATTTTCTGGCTTTATTAGGCATCAAAACGCATCAAACCCTAATAGAAATTTGTTTCTAAATGCCTCAGGAACCATACTACGTCGTCAAAGTGCCGAAATATTGCACTTTGTATGCGCAGTAGAATTGACAGGTGAATGATGTACGTATCGGAATACTGACACAAAATAATTAATTACTCGTTACCCGAACATTATTCATGAACTTTTATGATCGAACCATGTAAATAATGCATTGCTGAACATTCTTTAATCATAAAAGTTCATAGACTGTGCTTAGGAAGTGAGTAATTAACGATTTTGCATACTGATTATCGTGTATATTCCTCCTGCGCGCCGCGGGTGCATGCCACGAAGGAATAATCACCGAAAAACCATATCCCCGTCGACTTTAATGCAAAATTGAATTTGCTCGCACTTATGTACTTGACTTTTCCACTTTTTTGTTCACGTTTTACTCTTGCACCACTCAACCAGTTCAACCGGATGACACGGTTGACTATTTTTGCTTTAGCGTGAAATTTACAATCAAACAGACCTAGTTTAATGTATTATAGACTTTAGTTGATAATTGTTTCATACTTTTAGGGGTTAGAAGAATAATTTTATCGACGCATTAAATTACATGTTGAATTTTAAATCTTCTCGAACTACGCTATTCACCAGACATACTCAAAATTTCACATTACTTCTTTTGATTATTTTATAGTTAATACGTAGTTAATTATATAATGACAAAAACAGTGTACTTTAATTATTATTTTCGAAATGTTAACACAAACGTAACATAGAACTATCATTTGACACTATACATCCTTTTGAACATAAATTCAGTGACAAGCGCGGTAAAATAAATTTTGTATTGTTTAATGCTTATGAATATAAGAAAAAATGACATTTCCTCAAGCTGATCAAGTTGAATTAATAGCACTAGCAGAATTAGCAGGAATTTCAGCAGTTCCAGGCGTTTATCGGTAATAAATATACATAACCTCTTATTGTTTTTAAAAACTTTAATAACATAACCTCACATACCAATGTTTTGACATTTGATGATAATAAATATGAAGACCAAATTATTATTTTTCAATGTATTGACATTTATTGAACTTACATTTTGAATTTATAAATTCATTTAAAAAATTAACACAATATATTGAAATGATGAGAGATAACAAATTTTGATGATACATAAACAGTTATTAGAAACACATAATTATATTTTCAGCATCATATTGGAACTTTTAACACTTCAAGTATCACCAGAGGATATTTACATTCTTTTGAAGCAAATATGTCCACAGTCAGCTGAGAAACAAACTAGTAGTAATGCTGAAGATGTAGTGGAAACATCAACTACAACTTAGCATGCAAAAATACTCAACCATTTTTATATTTGTATTTGTTATTATTTAATGGAACAGATCAAATTGTAATGTAATAAAATAATTTTTGTCTAGAACATATTTATAATATATGAATATAGCTGACATGTACAAAGTCTTAATAAATAATTCTTAATTCCTTCCCTATATCAAACTGCACTCAGTAGTTAATATTTTACATTATATATAAAAATATTTTTAATAGTCTTCACAGCCTGCTCTTGCTAATTGGTCAGCCATTTCATTACCATAAATTCCAACATGACCATTAACATGGTTCTAAAATAAAAAGCACCATTATATTTTGAACTATTGGACATTATTTTCTATAGTGATGAATTTCTCTTACCCAAGTTACATCTAAGCTGTTAAGTGCCTTTTCCATTTCTAACAGCTCAGTTTTATTTATGACAGGTTCATTATTAGAAGTCTTCCATCCATTCCTTTTCCATTTTGGCATCCAACTTGTTATGCAAGAAATAAGAAACTGTGAATCTGTATTAATTTTTAAGTTCTTGATGCCTGCTTTTGCTGCTTGTTGGGCTGCTACAGTTACAGCCTGAATTTCTGCCATATTATTAGTTGCTCTTCCAACAACTGGTCTTGATACATTTCTATAATTAATAGTTTTGTATAAGATTCCAGTATCATATTAAAAGTTGATTATGAATAATAAGTGGGATGGAACATACAAAGGATGGTCATCACCAAACCAAACACCTATTCCTGCTTTTGCATTTTTACGACCATTTGAACTACATGCACCATCAGTATATACATTCACATAACCATTGCTGTCTATAATATATTCTCCCCGTGTTCTCTAAAGAGTAAAAGGTATATTGAGTCAAATTAATAAAACAAATTATAACTATGTAATTATTAAACACACATTTATATCTCAAGATACTCACTTTCATAGGACTCTCACAGGTAGGTAATGCCATTGTTTTCCTTTTTGGTGCCTCACTCTTTGTTGAACTTGATTCCTGACTAGTACCTTCTAATAGTTTGGTCTTTTGTGCTCGTAATCTAATAGCACCATTATATTAAAATATATATACCTTTTGATTATTATGTTACATTTTAATATACCTTTTAGTAAGTACAGATGCTGAATTCTTATTAGGTGTCTGATTTGATTCAGAATTTTTTAGAATGAATTCTTCAGCTGCAGCTTTTGTGGTAAATTTTTTGAATATTGGTCCAGAGAAACGAGTTACTTGTTTTTGACATTCATCCCTTGTTTGACAAAAATACAAATAAAGTTTTTGTGAAATATCTTTCAAAGAAATAATAATAATTCATTGAAAATTTAAACTAATACCAGGTGCTATAGATTCCAGTATTCCTGCCTTTGGCAACAGCGTAATAAACCATGTTTTTCAATATGCTATGAAAAAAATATATTTGATTTACCCTCATTATTATCTGTTTTTACCACAATTTATAGCAAAGTTTTTCATAACATAAAATTTTCAGAAGTAAAAACTTTTATAAATACTTATAAGATGATAAATATTTTGTTATAGTTTTAATTTTTAAAAATATTTATACCTAAGAAACTGTTATACAGTACCAAATTTCAATTTTTTTCAAACCGTGTCTCATATGCTTGACATAAACACAAAAGTTCAAATGTAATATTACAAGATAAACACAAAATATAAACTCGCGATGAATTTTAATTTGTCGTCTTAGTTACTATTACAAGAAGTAGGGAATAATTTACATAAAATTACGGACAATTAATATATTTTTGGTATGTTATTGTTATTCGTACGAGAGAGTATACCACAGCTATAATGTAACCGTGATTGTGTCACAAACTTTGAAAAGCCATTGTCCCCAAAAATTATTTTTAACAGTTTCATTAGGCTATTGAGATTCTAGAAATGACTTATGCACTTAGATTGGAGTACTGATTGTTTTATTTCTGCATTAATTGTTTATTAAATGAAAAAAAAGCAATATTAATGAAAATCGGTCTAAAATTGCAGAACTAGCGCCATCTCTCCGGCGAACAAGGTGAACTACACCCATTTGAAACACCCAGTTCATTAGTTCCTATTTCCACCGCTAGAGGTCCAAATATCAATTCTGAAGCGAGAAACTTAAACTCCTCGGACATCTAGCGGTGAAAAGTAGAAACTAATGAACTAGGTGTTTCAAATACGTGTAGTTCACCCTGTTTGCCGGAGAGATGGCGCTAGTTGTATAATTTTTAAATGAAATTGGTTAATATTGAATTTTCGGCTTATTAGACGATAATAAACGTCAAATTGCATTAGAAAATGATATTAATTAACTCTGGAATGTTTTAAAAGTATTCACTGATCAATAAAACCAATAATTGTACAAATAGTATTCTATGTTTTGATGTCCACCTTCCCTCAGTCCAGGTGGTCAGATTTGCTCTGGAGCACACATAAGTAGACAAGTTATACAAGTAGCAGAAAAAGACATAAATCAGGAATGATCACATTTGAAAATTTTGGAATTTGGGGATTTAGAGATACTAAAATTTAGTTAATGCTATTATAGTTAATGTTGTTATAAACATTTATATTGTCATTATGGCTCATTCAAAGGTATCTATGTTGAATAAATTAAGTGTATATAATTGTAATAATAATAATTTAATGCTGTACTTTGGCTAATTGAAATCTATTTTTGATTTTGACTTAAAGAATAGCAGCTGGCTAATGCCATCATTTGAATGTGACTCTGTCAGAAAGTCACCAGTAACTAAACGTACTTCTTCTCAAGCATTTGAGAGTACTATGTCAGAAATTCCAAGTATCCATGATATAGTACCTAAGAAGAAAAATACAAGTAGTCTGTCTGCTTTATTGGAAGCTTGTGAACCAAGACAGGCCACTGAATTGGTTGTAAGTAAGCGGAAACAACAAGAAATTCTAGATTGGTTACACTTCAAAGTAAGGAGAGACAAACCTTATGCAATGGTTTTGAGTGGTCCATCCGGTTGTGGTAAAACTGCAACAATCAAAGTTCTTGCCAAAGAAAATGGTTTTAGTGTTACAGAATGGATTACTCCTATTGATCAAGTGATGGATGAAAATTGTAATTTACTTCTTGAAAATTAATCTGCATTTCTTCAGTTAACAATAAAATAATCATTAATTATTTTCCAGATAGAGTAATGAGACAAGCTGATAGATTTGAGGAATTTTTAATTAGAGCCACAAGATATAAATCAGTTTTAAATAATAATTCTAGACGTTTACTTCTAGTTAAAGATTTTCCAAATGTTTTCTATGAAGACAGCCTTAGCTTCTTATCCCTTCTAGAGTAAATACAATTATTGATTTGTATTTTATGTAATCCAACTCGTTATAATTATTTTATACTTGTAGGAGATATTTTGAATATGGAAAAGAGCCTATAGTATTTGTTTGTACAGAAGTGGGAAATTCGAAATTATTGCAATCATTATTTCCACCTAATGTAAGGGAGAAGTTTGGAATTGACTTAATCAAGTAAGTTGTTAGAAAGTATTACATCCTTTTCTAGCTTTCACTTTTTGTACATACTTACCCAGTTCTTATAAATTTAGTATAAATCCTGTTACACAAGCTGCAATGAAAAATGCATTAAAAAGAGCATCCAATATTTTGAACTCAATTGCTAAACATATGTTATCCGTTACCCAAAATAAAATTGACGAAATATTATCTAATAGCATAGGAGATATTAGAAATGCACTTTTAAACTTGATTTTTATTTCATTAAGAGGTAAGTATAGGTAATTACAGACTTGATGTTGGAAGGCTATTTTACATTATTTTTGTCCTTAACAGTACCTGAAGAAAACGAAAATAGTTGTAATAGCAGAGAAGTAAATTTAGGACTTCTTCATGGCATAGGACAAGTAATTAATGCCAAAAGTAAATTACTAATTTTAATGTACAGTAAAAACGTAATACTTTTAATCAAAGTAATTAACAATACAATAAAATTTAAAGGGATACAAGAAGAAAATCGATGGAAGTTTGTTCACGATCCTGATGAAATAGCAGCTTTCTTTCAATCACAAGCCACAGTATTCTTAAATTTTCTTCAAGAAAATTATTTAAACACTATGAGAGGCATAGAGGAAGTAAATGCGTGTGCAAATACCTTAAGTTTAGCAGATGCTTTAAATTCTGAATGGCGGGTATGGTAATTACACGTTTCTTTATACGAAATATTACGTAAATTATATAGGACAAATTTCACGGAAACTATTAATTTTCAGGATCCTAATTTAACTAAAGTTGTTTTGTCCTTCGCGGTTCGCGGTGTGATGGTGCCTAATGAAAAGCCTGTTTCTGGATGGAATCCTGTTAGAAAGCCACCAAATGACCGAGCTGATAAGTTAGTAAATACAGCAGTAGTATTATGAAATGCTAATCAATAGTTATATTGATAAAGCGTTAATATTCCATATCTCATATGTTTACATAAATATACAAATTATTATGCAGGACGTGTAAATATATCTTAATGCGTTTATTTCTGTAGGCAGAGATGTCTCGCAGCAGCCGAGGTTCGATGGTACGAGTCTATAATTAACGCAAAATCAAAAAATAAAACGGAAGAACCAAATTTCGATATCGAATCCATCATTGAGTAATATTAGAACGGTACAAGGTGTAAAGGAAGAAATACGATATCTTTATTATTTTTTATTTTCTACCAGTATTATGTAAATGTAAATATATAATCGGAAATTGAATCGTACGAATTTCATTAGAATTGTTTACATTTTTTAAGCGTTTGTATATATTGTTGAATAACATGTTTTATACTATTATTTGTCTTGTTTAATACCTTAGAGCGTACAACAATTATTTTTATTACGAAAAGCAGATATTGGCGCAAACAACGTTTATAGATACTATAAAAAATACAGTTTGTATCATTTACATACTTCGAACAAAATCTTTTTAATATGAATAGTTCTCTCGGTAGCACTATCCACAAATTCGTGTTCCTATTTCCATTATACATTTTTTATTTCAATTTGTTTAAATGCAAGAACTGTATTTCTCAAAAATTGAGACCGGTGGAGACAAAATGATTTATCGACGCATAAGATGCTACAAAAATGCATAATGGATATGGAAACAAAATAGTTCACATTTGTTGGATAGTGTAGACTCTTGGCAGTTACAAAGTAATTCGTTAATAACTAGATGAAGATACAACGATATTTCTAATTAAAATTAAAAATTAAAATTGTTTATAATAACGAGTATTTTATTAAAAATATACGAAGATCTTACAACCTATTTTTTCATAAATAATTGTTAATGATTATACCTAATTATATTTGTACAGCAATGTAAATTTTGTACGTATGCTAAATATAGTGTTGTTTAAAAAATTCATCGCCTAAATATTTCCTAGAAAAAATGCAGTAACAAGCAGTCTTCCGCTCCAAATACCTTAAATATCAGTGTATATTGAACTGTTTCAAATCATTTGTATAATGCAGTCTCATTGTTGCAAACATTTTATAATCAAGAAAATATATAGAAATTCGAGGAATACTAAGCCAATCAAAAGTTGATAGTCGGTATTATAAGAATTGAAATATACTGGAAACATATTTGTAGAATGAATGTAGGTACTTGTCTAAAAGAAAAAGATTATTTCTTCACTAGTCTACCAATATAAATAAAAATGATTATGCTGGGAAATGATCATGAGACCAAAATGAAATATATACACAAGTTTAAATGAATTTTCGTCGTGAAAACTACGCTTTAGAAAGGTTCACTTCTTCAATCGTTGAAATAAGATTGTCCAGGCCAAATAGGAATCCCTCTTCATGGTTGCCTTGTTGCCACGGTTCTCTATGTGTCACTCTGTGTCCATTTGGTAATGCTTGTGTTTTGGCGAAATCGATCAACCAAACTCCAACTTTGTCGTTGTCGTAAATCATAAAAATACTGCTACCAATTATCTGCAAACAAATTATACACGTTACATACATTTAAAGATCTATACCATCGCATGACTGTTATCTACATAACCGCTACATAATCTACATAACTTATTTATAGACTCAACAACTCAGCTACGAATCTATTAATCGAGTAAACGTACTTCATGCGTTTTGAAATATTCAGAGGCTTCGATCTTCGAGCGAAGACTCTTCAGTCGTGCAAGTAGCTTCATGCGAGTGCCTTCACGCGTTCCCAGAAACAGTTTCATGGTGTCCAGAACTTCTTGATGAGACTTTACTTTCTTTAGATCCGTAATAGGCGGCGCACCAGGTAGCTTCATAGCCTCAATTCTGAATCCGTGACTACAGGTCGAGCTCTGTTGCTCACGGAATTGCATGTACCGCAATTTTGTCACAGCACGCTGTTCATGTTCTTGCTTCGTAGGCGCATTCGGATCAACGGCGATCATCTTCTGATAAAGGTCCGGTCTCGCCGTCGTCTTCGATACTTCAGACTCGAGGAATGTTCTTGTTCCCATCTTGATGTCCATCACGTGAGGGTCGTTGAAACCAAAAAGTAAGTCTTGTAGTTCGATGAACGTGTCTCCTTTGTACTCCACTTCTCGATAGTATCTGTGATAAAATCAATTTTATTAGACTAATTGGACTAATTATAATTAGTGTTTAATTATCAAGTAATATTTAATTTTGCAATTATACAATAAATTATACAATAAATTATATAATAAATTATACAATAAATTATATAATAAATTATACAATAAATTATACAATGAATTTTAAAATAAATTTTAATCATAAAAATTCTCTGATTTAAAATGGAAATTTAATTATTATACAAAATAGAAACTGTTTCATAGTATTTTTATGTAGTCGAATTGCATCAAACTTTTCACTTTTGACTTTGATTTTTAAAATTAAAATTTTATGTGCAGCTAATAGTTTCATTTCTCTATTTTATTTTCTGTTTTACCTTGGTATGCAGTCCCGCAGTTCTTTGTCCTTGCTGAGCGCTTCGTAAACGATCCTTTCTGTATTTTCTGCTCCACCTGTCTTCCTTTTCCAAACAGTGCCGGGTCCAGCAGGAGCGAAACCGTCCGGGTGTCCCGATAATTGGAACCAGGATTTCAATCTGTTCTTCAGCAGAACGTCGCTGGCTGGTGCTGTTAAATCCAAGGCATTCTAAAAAAGAATGAAGGAAAAGATAAAATCATTTGCAACATATATGAAAAATTACAGCAAGCTCAGGTGTTCAAATTGTGAATCATGAAAATAGGACAAATTTTCTTCACAACAATTTTGCTAATATTATTTGTACAACATTGTAAATCATAATTTTACAAATATTAAAATACTTGCATATATAAATATTAAACCATATTTGATAAAATGTATATTATTAAGGTATATCAAATTATTAAAATAAAGTTTCATTTTCATAATAAGTTTTCATAATAAATACATTGAATTAACATTTAAGAACAATTTAATACATAAAATGCTCGATAAAAATTTTCACTAAATTATTAAGAAAATTTATGTTCAAAAACAACACAATAGATAGTTAATATAATATAAATATTTTTTATTCAAAATAAATTTCAGCATAAAACATCATTTTACATTTCAAATGCAATTTGTCGCAGGCGAAATGAACATAACATTGTAATTTATGAACGTGTACATTTTGAATCAGACAAGTGTCTCCGTTATAATCCAACATTATTTTAATATCGTAATACATATTAAAAAGACCAGTACCAACGCCAGGAATTTCAACGACAGATCCTCTTCGGGCATGGTTGTATCTGAGAGAACCATGGGGAACTGTTCCATCTTCTGCATCGCTGAATCATTGGGAAGTTTAGCAAGTGTCCTGGTGGAAGAAGATCCAACACTGTTGGACCGATTCGAACTCGTAGACGTGTTCCTTCGCCATTGTCGAAAAGCGCTGTAGGTGCTGCTGGCCGATGCATCCTTCTGCCTTCGGTGTTCCTTGGGATTCGAATTATGGTTCAGTCTCGTTTGCTCCTTGTTCGAAGGCTGTAACCAAAGGGATCTACTAAGAATTCGTTCCACTTGAAGTCTTTTGTGTAATAATTCTTTTTCTGATTCAAAATTTGATGTTATCGAGTCACGTTTAATTTACTCAGATATTTATTCTAACAGGACAATTGTTTAATATTTTATCTTTGTGATTTTTCATTATTAATGAAGTCAAATACATTTTTTATTTTGGGTAATTGTATTTCTATGTCTCTATATTCTATGTACTTCTATATTGAAAAGAAATAATGTTATATGATTCTCCTTTGGTGCAGATATGATCTTTTATATTTACAGATATGAACTTAATATAAATATGAAACTATTCATTACCATTTTCCAATTGTTATCACTCGTGCAAGTTTAAAAATGTTTTCTCCAAAATAGGTAAAATCATGCAGCTAATATATGTATGTTCTTTAAAATATTATTACCTCTTCGTTTTTAAAAATACAAAATATAATGTACAATCTCTACCACCTCAAACAATCAATATAATACATACTTTACATAAGAATGAGTTACATAAAAGAAAAAGAAATATAAAGTTAAAGTATTAAATTATTACAGCCGTCATAAAAGGAGTCTTCAAAAAAAGGCGGCAAAAAGAGTCACGAGAAATATCACGATACGTCATTCCAGTCAACAAATACGAGGTAGCATTGAAAACCGTAAGAACCATGTAAATTGTAAATTAAAGCCTTGATGAGAAATAAAGTCTGTTTCCACGAGATCGCAAGATTTCTTCTTCCGTTTTTTCCGACCAGCTGTTCCCGTAATTTATGCGTTTCGTAATCGAACCCGATGCATGAATTAACTCGAATGTATTTCACGTCCGCCAATCAGAGGCGAGACGAGCCACGCTGGGAACGAACTGCGCATGCGCGCACGTGGTCCAGCGCATGCAATGAATTGATAAGAATCGTTTAATTGAGTTTAGTGAGCCGCGAGCTACTCGTGCTAATTGATGTATCACAGTTACCGTTTAATCGGATTATAAATGTATCACGTGCAGAACTAAAGTATTCTGAGAGAAGAACAGCCACGATTAGGCCAATTGGAGGTTTAAAGCGCGTAACGTTTATATAATTGCGTACGAACTATCAACGCGAATGTCGGAGATGACCAGGGTCGAATTAAGTTCTTCAGAGGACTCGGTTAGAAAATTTTACGTGTAATTCATGCTACGAGTTGAAAAATAAAATTTTATACTTCGCAATGAAACATTACACTTTTGGGATATTGGAATTTTTAATTGAAATTCATAATTGCATATTGGAATTTTTAATTTAAATTCAGAACTTGGGAATTACAGAATTTGGAATTTTGGAAGATGTCTATGGTATTTCAACCTGTGGCGATATAACGCGCGGTAACCTAACATACATATTTGGTATCTTAAAGCATGGCAAGCAAATGAGGAGCGATTTAACATATGCTCATGTAACGAGTAGTAATCTGATACGTGGTAATTTAAATTATGGTAACCTAACGCTTTGCGATTCAACGCATGGTAATTCTACATGTGGCTATATAACGCGAGGTTATACAACGCGTGGCTATATAACGCGTAGTAGTCTAACGCGCGGTGATCTAACGTATAACAGTCTAACACATTGCAATCCCACGAGTGGCTATATAATGCATGCCGATATAATGCGTGGCAATCTAATGCATGGTAATCTAAAATATAGTAACCTAGCGCATTGTGATTCAACGCGTGGTAATTCGACATGTGGCTATATAATGCGAGGTTATATAACGCGTGGCTATATAACGCGAAGTAACCTAACGCGTGGCGATATAATGCGAGGTAATCTAAATTATCGTAATCTAACGCATTGCGATTCAACGTGTGGTAATTCTACATGTGGCTATATAACGCGCGGCTATATAACGCGTAATAACCTAAAACGCGTTATACATCATGTGGCGATATAGTACAAGGTGTCACAAGGAAACATAACTAAATATCATTCCTTTTGTCAACACAATTTATTTACAAAAGTTTTCAAATATACCATAATACACATTATTTTATTCAGAATTTGAAAGTATATCAGAATAGAACATGTCTTGCAGACAAAATTGTTCGACCGGTTTTTAGGTTAGTTTATGTCAGCTGAACTTCTGATCTTTAACCATTGCTCTGAAGATATCTAACTCATTGAGCTGTACAATCGTATATTATACGGATTACCGATTTTATTATAAAATAATATTTTACAAAAGATCTATTTATATTAAATTTCTCAGAATTACCACAAAGAACACTATAAAGTTCATTCTTATGTAACGACTTCTGCCAAACAAAATTTTTCTCAGGCGTTTATTATAAATGTCGACCCTTTCACTTTTTACTCATACCGAAATAAAAAGATATTTGTCAAATTTAAATAAGTTATTACTCCTTTCGAACTCGTAGAAGTTCATCGTCCTAAAAATAGGAATATTATACATGGTTAAGTTGAATTTTCAAATTTGACTAAATATTTTATTTCGTACCGAAAGATAAAAGGGGTTTTCGATTACAAATACTTCGGGAACCCAAAAGGCGTTATGCGAACGATATGGTCAGCCGTATTCGAAAATTCAGTCGTTATTATTATTATGAGCACGTTATTATCGCAGGCAGAGCGTGCTTCGATGGCGATCGGGCAGGTGGTTCAATGTGGAATTCGATTTTGCGATACGCCATTCATTTTAATCCACTTGACAAGGCCCGAACGTGAGGACATCGCGAAATCAAGCTCGCGATTTCGACTTATCCCTTTTCATGGACTAAGACAGCGATTCTCAAACTGCGCATCTCAACACGCAATAACTTTAATTAAACATTGCCATACGAACGATTTCGATGCAGTTACGTCATATTTTTTACCGCAATCAGACAAGTTTAAATAAATTTCACAAAAATTACGTGCTTAACGAAAATTTGTAACAGCACGATGCAGATACTCACACAAGAAACAAAATGGAGGAAAGTAGACACATAATGAAGAAACTTTTGTTTCACATCAATTTCTCCGAGTTTCACTTCTGGGTTACGCTTTCTATTGTCAGCCATTTTGTTCTTTTTAATTAATCAGAAGCTCGGTTCAAACTACTTCGTTCTTCATGAAAATAAATAAAAATCGAAACAGTCTTTCTATGAGAATTTGTAACACATCGATTTGTCATAAAATTATTTTTATTATGATAATATTTTTTATTATTATTACTTGTTTATAAAAAGTAAAAGATTAAAAATTTGTTCTTCATGTGCGCCCCCTGAGGAAAAGTATCTACAGGAAAAGAAAACTGGCAAAGAAAGGAAAAGAAAAATAGGAAAAATTTGTCTGTCTGACAGACGCGTTAAACTGCAAAGTAAATATACGCACCTGTGACTTACAATAGCCTTCGGGCACAGTGTAAGCACAAGAAAAAAGAAGCGGGTAAGTTGCTCGCTTTGCAAGTAGAGTCATATTTTACAGAGCATTGACGTCACTGGTGTATTCAGATTGCATTGTTGCAGATAAGTTTCAATCGAGCACCGTTCCAGTTTTCACGTTTAACGAGAGCCAACAGATAAGGCAGATTCGCTGTGCATCCTCGATAGGAAATTTCAAGGGGAGGAATTGTTTTTATTTTACAATTGTTATGTCGATTTCAACGTTTACCATAACGTTACTCTTTCTTCAATTTCTTTATATTCGTTTTTTTTCTTTATATTCCCTTTTCTTTGTTACAGTTAATCCTTATTGTGAATATTTTGTTAATTTTTGACAATAATTTTTACAGTTAATTGTCGCTATTAATTTTGAGGTTACTGTTAATTCCGATGATTATCGTGTTTAATTGTAACAATTAATTGTCACATTAGAAGCAGTATAAATAAACTAGTGACTAAAACACATTACAATAACATGTACTGTGCATTTCTGTTTGGCAGCCGGAAGTAACACGAATTCCATAACTTCTCATGCCAACTTATGAGACTCACGGTACAACTTGTAGTACTTGCGTCTGTACTTAATTATACAAATGGTATACGAACGTCAAAGAGTATAAAATTCGTAGAAAATGAATCAATCTACCTTCCATTTACATATATATTATAATTGAATGCAAATTTTATGGGACACCATGTAATTTAAATTTTTTGCAAGAAATTCGTGATGTCCCCGATAAAACGAATGACGAAATTTTCATCCGGATTGAATTTCATCGTCCAACGACAATGAGCACAGCTCGCGTGCGTCAATGCGCGAACAAAATGCTTTGATAAAAATGCGACCATGGCTTGTTTGCTCCGTGACAGCGGCATGAATTACACCACGGGGTGTTTGAAAAGTTTTAGAAATGATTTTAACACTTGTGATTTGTAATAAGACAACATTAAAGATGCAGATATCTTCTTTGTTTAGGGATTACGTTGAAAAACTAGGTTTTGTATAAATGAAGTATATTAATAAATTAAAATTCAACATTTCAGATCTTCAAAATCTGAAATTTCTAAATTCGATACATTCCCTGCATCTCTCAAATTAAAAAATCCCTGCAAATTCCTCAAATCCCTAAACTTTCTTAAAATTGCTCAAATATCTAAATTACTAAAATCTTCTAAATTAAAGAAACTCCAAAATTACAAACAATTCTGCAAATCTTTAAAATCCCCAAATTAAGAGATCCCCAAAATTTTCTGGAATTCTCCAAATTTTAAAAATTTCCAAAATTACAAAAATTCTAAAAATCCCCAAAATTTCTTAGAATTTCCCAAATCCTCAAATTTAGAAAATTTTCTAGAATTCTCCAAATTTAAAAAATTTCCTAAATTCCCAAAATTCCCTAGAACCCTCAATAATCTCCAAATTACAAAAATTCCCCAATTTCCAAAACTCCTTCGAATTCCTCAAATTTCCAAATTACCAAAATCCCCAAAATAATGAAAATTCCCTAGAACCCCCAAAATTTCCAAATTACAAAAATTCCTCAATCCTCAAAACTCCCTAAAATTA